GCAGTTCACTCTGTGGTCACCACTCTGGACCCAAGTAAGCAGATAAGCTGAGGAAAACTTTTATTTCATTTTAAGTGAAGTAGTAGCTATTGTGCTCTCCTCCATAGCAGCAACCTCTCCCCAGAGACCCACCTCCTACCCACCACCTCAGGGAGCTCTAATCTCATGGAGAATCTGGTGTAAGTTACCTTCTAATAATTAATGTTCTGACATCAAAGTCAGCATACAGCTGTCTGTAAATCATCTTTAGCCCAAGAAATGAAGGGACGCCGGCACAGATTTTATCCAGCCTCTCTCTTCAGCTTCAAAAACCACACACAGGCAAAGCATTAATGGGAAGATTCTTTTACAAAAATGGACCTTTGATGTTTAAAAATAATTTGTTTTGTTTTGGGTTTTTTCCTCAGGACTGAAAAGGGACAAAAAGCAGATGCCATGTGGCTCGCTCTGTTCTGCTGTTGCTGCTGAGAGCGAGGAGAGGGGAGGATGGCAGGAATGGAGGAGGGAACAAAATGTAATCAATCAGCAGCAGAAACACCAGAGATCAAAGGGCTTGAAAGCAGCAGTCAAAATCACATGCTGTTTAACACAAGGACAGAAACCCCCCCAACAAAATCTGCAGCTGCTTCCAAAGCTGCTCTGAAACTGGAAGGCAAGCTGGCTCCAGAAGTGCCTCGGAGTGGTTTAAACTGGACTGCAATTCTGAGAAAGATGCCGGATCACGAGAGTCCTCAGGCCACCGCTGTTCAGCTCTGTGCCCAACAGCACAGCTTCACGTTAGCCAGTAAAGTGATAGAACAAGTTCTGGCTCTCCAGCCAGCATATGGAGAAGCGTGGACCACAGGACTGGTGAAGAATACCACCACAAACCTTCACACTTCTTCCTTCCTTTTCAGACACAACTGAAATTCCTCCTTTCCAGATCTCTCGTAGGTTAGAGTGGGATTGAAGCAAGCAACACATCAGACTGGACAAATCACCCAGCACACTGTTTAGTTCTCCATGCTCAGGTTTTGTTCCAAAAGGTTGAATAACACTGATTAGATGGACCCAAACATGTTTCTAATACACTGAAATATTCACCACTGGGTTGGCAATGCCTCTTTCTTCTACATTTGTAACTGCTCCAGAGTCCTTCCAGGGTCTGGCTTCCGCTCCTAAACAATGCAGAAACTCATCAAGAATGGACTGCAACCACAAAGAAGTCAACCAAGGTAGAATTCTCTACATCAACAGAGAGCAAACACATAGTCTTGCTAATTTCCTCCTGGACTGAGCTCCCTTTGAAGCTCATCGGGCACCCTTTCTTTCTACTTATGGCTTTCCATTGTTTAATCCTGTGGCTAGATTGGAACTAAACACAAAACTCCAACTCTAGAAGGTAGTAAAGAGTGGAAAACAATGACAGGGATCTCTGAACACTAAAGCCAGCCCTAG